GAGCTTACAGTCGACCATGAAGGAGGCGAGGAGGGGTAGCCGCCATTTGCCCTTCTGCTTGGGCTTAGGCATACCGAATATCATGAGCTTGAATGTGCCCACACGGGGCGGACTGATGGTGAACGTGATCTTATTGCCCGAGTCGTCGCGACTCACGATACTCCTGGTGTCCATTTCCATGCCGTCGGCGTCATAGATGGTGTAACTGATAAGCATAGTCTCGTTGGACTCCATGACCAGTCGGCGTCGGCCGCCCCACGTCACGATCACTGGCCCCGTCTGGTTGTGGAGCCGTAGTTTGTAGTCGTAAAATGTTTGTGTGGGCCCCCAGGGCAGTTCGTTGATGGGCAGCGGCTCTATGTATTTGCGAGCGCGGGTGCACTCCATCAACAGTGTGCACACGTTTTGCAGACTCGTCGAGTCCTGGCCCTCATTCATGTCCCGCTCCGGTTTGGCAAATATCTGTGGGTTAACATCATGGTCATTTATTTGTACAATTTATCAATTATAATCAATTTTAAACGTTTTCACTTGTTTTTTATAATTTTTTTCTAACTAGATATTAACTATTTCACTACGCTTATCATGATTCATTTGAAAACAATCGTGTTAATTCATATAAAGAATTTAAAGGAAATATTATTCCCGTTTAGTATTACAAATCACTAATTGTAATCTACCCGAGTGTGTATATCATGGCTGTGCACTCGTGTAAATGTTGTTTACACTAATGATCAGCACTGGTGTACATTATGAAAAGCAATGATCATAAAAATGGTGATTCATTGGTGCCAAACCTTGAGGAAGAATCTGCCTTCGATGGGCGGCTGAACGGCGAAACTGCCCACAAGTCGGTCCTCTTTGAGCTGACAGAAGACATAGTGATTGAGTGATGAGTTCTCCATCTCATCGGACGGATAGAGTTTGTATTTATAACGCATGGCTTCGTGGGAACCGATTTTCACTTCAGTCGATATCCTAAACACTATAGGATTCTGCGGTTTCGACCGTATCTTCAGATTGAAGTCGAAGAAAGTGGGCGACACTTTCGGCAGAGCATTGAACTCATCCAATGCCACCCATTTGTCCAACAATTGCCACCTATTAGTGAACACCCGTTACAATGCATTCATTGTATTATTAAATATTCTGTGCTTTAAAAATTCATGGCATCAATAATTGTAATATTATTTCTATTGAATATTATATCTAATAATATAGTAATCTCTGCAACAAAAATATTGTTCACTCAATACTGCTTTATATTACAAGCAGAGAGAGAGAGAGAGAGAGAGAGAGAGAGAGAGAGAGAGAGAGATTACTGGATTTAGTATTCAAACCAATGATATAAATTATGTTAAAAAGCAAAATATATTATTTAAATATTGAATAATAGGATTCAATACACGTATTGTCGGGTTATATAGAGTGGTGTATGTGATGGGGAAGGGCTACTGAACTGACCTAAAATCACACATTCCTTCCCTAGCCTTACATAACAACACATAAAACCGCTAAACATATACA